ACAAGATGGCCGCCTCTGAGCCAGTGTCTAAAGACAAGATGGCCACCTCCGAGCTAGTGTCTATGGACAAGATGGCTGATTCAGAGACTGTTCACGTTACTTCTGCCAATCCAGAGACTGTTCACGTCACCGCCTCTGAGCCAGTGTCTACGGACAAGATGGCTGATTCAGAGACTGTTCACATTACCGCCTCCAAGTCAGTGTCTAAAGACAAGATGGCCGATCCAGTGTCTCCAGACAAGATGGCCGATCCAGTGTCTCTGGACAAGATGGCCGATCCAGTGTCTCCGGACAAGATGGCCGATCCAGTGTCTGCTCCCGAGCCAGTGTTTGTTTCTGTGTTTGTGTCTGTCCTTGTGATCGTTTCTGTTCTAGTGCCTGTTCCTGAGCCGGTGTCTTTTCCTGAGCCGGTGTCTGGTCCTGAGAGGGCATCACCGCTGTGGCCGCCCAAGGGGTCCTCACCGCCATGGCCTCCCGAGGGGTCCTCACCGCCGTGGCTGCCTGAGGGGTCCTCACCGCCCTGGCCACCCGAGGGGTCCTGCTCCGCCCTGGCCGCCTGCACAGCCTGCTCCGCTCTGGTCCTGCTTCGCCCTGGCCGCCTGCACAGCTAAATACCTGTTGTTCTCATTTACTCACCGCAAAGTCTTGTTGTACTGTGTGTCTGCATTTCCGAGCGTTTTCTCGTGTTTGTCTTTGGATTGTTCTTGGATTTTGATTATTGCTGCCTGCCCTGACCTCTGCCTGTTTTTTGGATTCCCACTGTGTGTTCTCCATTGTCCTGTCTGCCGATTCTCGACCCTGCCTGTACGACTATTCTTAAAGCTGCTTTTGGATCTACATCTCCCACTCTCGGAGCAGTTCATAACACATACAGTGTAAATTCCTTTATTTTAACTTTTCCTGTTCTCAATTCCCATCATCCTTACAGATAAGGAAAGGTGCGGATGACATCCGCACACTGAGTGAGGAAGACGTGTCTGACGCTGAACACCTTGTGAAGATCCTCAAGCCAATGAAATTGGCCACCACCACAATGTCTGAGGAAAGCATACCTACTCTCTCAATCATCACCCCACTACACACACAGCCCCTGGCTGACTTCACCCCTGCACCAGAGGATGATCCGATGACCCAGGAAATCAAGCATGCCATCCAGGAAGATTTGAGGAAGAGATACACATCTACAAAAGAGAGGCACACACTCCATACAGCATCTTGCCTGGATCCTTGCTTTAAAGCTCTCCCATTTCTTTCAGAGGATGAAAAAGTAGAGACATATAGCAGAGTGACTGCAGAGGCTGCATCATCCCTTGAGGTATTCTGTCTTTTGATTATTAATAATTCTACTTTTTTAGAGAATGATTAATGCTTTGTATCAGTTGTGTGCTTTGTATGCTTTGGGTCTTCTTTCACTGCTTCCCTGTGTTAGTTGATGAGGCAAGAGTCCCTGAGGGGGAAGGTAATGACATGGCTGAGGGGTATATTGACGGTGAGGAGGATGATGCAGTTCAGAAGATTTGCGATGAAGCCCTGAACCTGGATGAAAATCCCACGCCCTCTACCTCAAGACCATCTTCTCTGACTGCACTGTTTGGCCAAACATTTAATGTTTCTGGCACCACAGCAGAGCCCAAGTCGGCACACACCAGGGCTGAGGAAGAGGTTCGCACTTATCTAGGGGCCCCTTCACTTCCTTTCACAGATGACCCCCTTGAGTGGTGGAGCACCAACCATCATGTGTATCCTCTCCTAGCTAAGCTGGCCAAACAATAATTATGTATCCCAGGTACGAGCGTTGCTGCAGAGAGAGTGTTCTCCACAGCGGGAGACATCGTGTCAGCACAACGGAGCACACTCACGCCACAACATGTGGACCAGCTGGTCTTCCTCCATAAGAATCTGGTCATTCCAGAGATATGAATGTTTAGTACAACTTGATTTCAAGTTAGTGTGTTGCATATATACAGTATATAAGCAGAAGCTACAGTACATCTGTACAGCTACAGACATCTGATTCAGGTCAGTTCGACGGCTGTTAACAAGAAGTAAAAACTATATAAATACTGTTCGTTTTCTCACACAAACCGCTCGTTTCGTGTCTTATGCCATCAATGTCACGAGTCATTAAATCATGTTTAATTTTGACTTCTCTGTGCATGCTCTTTGAGGTGAACTGATTGTGGACCCCCTTAACCTCCAGTGTATGTGTCACGTCAAATAATAAAGGATCCAGAAGCAGATAGACAGGAATAACAGTCTTTAATTAATGATAGAAACAAAGGCAGTCTGTCGTTAATGAACACAGATCTGGAGACAAACAGAAGCGGGAATAATCTCCTGTCACGAAGCGCTGAACAGAACCTCCTAGGCGCAGTCTCTAGGAACAGGAGACGTCTCAGTCACGAAGAGTGGACGAAGAGAGCCCCAAGCAGCAGCAACAGCAAGGCACGGAAAATACTCTTAGTAGCCAGACTGATACGGACAAACCAACCTGATCTCACAGAATTCCGTGAAATGAACACGGACTCTTAACTCAAAATCCGTTGCAGTGTCACGGATTTGCCAAAAAATCCGTGATGTGCCCACGGAATTGATGCCTATGTAAGTCAATGACAGGCAGCATCCGTGGTCTACACACGGGCTGTTACAATACGCGCGCGCTCCCCCAATTGACGTCGTTTTATAATTTGGAAAGATATATTCTGAATTTACTTAAAGTACTTTACTTTACATATTTGATTTTAACTTGATATTGCATTGTTCTGTCGTCGTTTGATCGCTAGGATAACGTCTGGTCACCCTGAATTCCGTGACCGTACCACGGAATATTCGGTGGTCGCCACAGATTGGTTCACCGTTACTGGACGATATTGCTGCTGATTTTGATACTTTAGGTTGGCTATTCAAGCTGTCTGGGTTTGTGATGCATGTAGTCTAATTAAACTGTGAACTTTTGTATCTTCCCTGACCAGTTATAGCATTTTGCTTATTGACAAATGATGGGACCACGGGTTTCTTCCGTGACCGTACCACGGAATATTCGGTGGTCGCCACAGATTGTTTCACTTTCACTGGACGAGGTTGCCTATTGCTGATTTTGACACTTTAGGCTATTCAAGTTGTCCGTGTTTGTGATGCATGTAGTCTAATTAAACTGTGAACTCCTTATCTGACCAGTTTATAGCTTTTGCTTTTTGACAAATTCTGTGATGGCACCACGGATTCTTCCGTGATGGGCCCACGGGTTTCTTCCGTGACCGTACCACGGAATATTCGGTGGTCGCCACACCTTTACTGGACGATATTGCTGCTGAGTTTGATACTTTAGGTTGGCTATTCAAGTTGTCTGGGTTTGTGATGCATGTAGTCTAATTAAACTGTGAACTTTTTATCTCCCCTGGCCAGTTTCTATAGCCTTTTGCTTATTGACAAATTCCGTGATGGCACCACGGGTTTCTTCCGTGACCGTACCACGGAATATTCGGTGGTCGCCACAGATTGTTTCACCTTTACTGGGCGATATTGCTGCTGGTTTTGACACTTTAGGCTATTCAAGTTGTCCGTGTTTGTGATGCATGTAGTCTAATTAAACTGTGAACTTCTTATCCCCTGCAGTTTGTACAGCCTTTTGCTTATTGACAAATTCTGTGATGGCACCACGGATTCTTCCGTGATGGGACCACGGGTTTCTTCCGTGACCGTACCACGGAATATTCGGTGGTCGCCACAGATTGTTTCACCTTCACTGGAGATTGCCTATTGCTGATTTTGACACTTTAGGCTATTCGAGTTGTCTGTTCGCGATGAAATGTAGCCTCATTAAACTGTGAACATATTATCTCCCCTGATCATTTTGTGTATAACAGTTTTCCACATTGTCAAATTCTGAATCCGTGATGGACACACGGATAACTGGCAGGCTCGATCAATCAAACTCCCCATCCATCAGCCTGGTGTAAATAATATTTGGACTAATTTACTTATTTTTTTTTTTTTTACTTTAATTTACTCAATTGACAGATAGACATATACAGACAACGAAAAAAATGATAAAGACTTATAATAAATTAATGTTAAATCGGACGTGTTGCCATGGCGGCGACCCCACGGCACTTTCGCGGTTTTTCCGTCATTGCGAGGATCCCCTCTACCAATCGGTATGTATCTCAGACCTGCTACTTATTTACTAAATATAAATGTTGAAATATAAGTTTTAATGCGTTTTAGATCGCTTGTAGGCTATTGTTCATTGCTAAATATTTGACATGATATCGTGTCTGTAAATAACGTTAGCTGCTAACGTTAGTTGTTTTTCTCTAAAAAAAAGTATGCATTTTAAGAAATATTTAAAAGACGTTTTCTCAAAATTATTTTTTTTGTCATTCTCCAGTAACGTTACCAACATATCATCCTCTGTAGCACCATGTACACCAAAGAAATATAGTGAAAATCGTTTATTTTTGATGAAAAGTGAGATGAAAGCATATAACGTTAACGTTAGGCCCTATCCTGAAATCCATCTGATATTCTTTTTCCATCTTGTGTAAACTAAATGAAAAAATAATTTTCCACCTGGATTTATCATGTGTTCAGATTTGTTACCGAAAATATATATGCAAAATTGTGCATATTTAATGAGATATTTCCTATTTTGCATAATTAAACATACAAATTTCAAAAACTTATAATACATTGTTTTTATATACTTGTGTAATTAATCAACTGAGGAAGGTTCATGGTGATCATGGTAATAGATTCATTTATTTTAAAAATTTTACCCTATTCACCTTTAGTGTCTCGCATTAATGTAGACATTAATTTTTTTTTCTCAGAGATGCATCTAATTATGCTTTCTTGTCTGTTCTACAGATTATTTGCATCTTATCTCTATTTCAGTTTTATATAGAAAACAAAGGCACTTTTAAGAGCCACTCTTTCAATCTCTCTCTCACTGTTTCTCTCTAGTCTCTCTCTCTCTCACACACACACACTCTCTCTCTCTCTCTCACTCACACAAACACGCACGCACGCACACACTCATCTTCATATTTGTACTGTTTGTCTATTGTCTGTATTTTTGTATTGTATCTGTGCATGCACCATGTCGGAAAACCACCCAGCAGTCTTCGAAGATCCTAGTGAGGTCAGATGGCATATGGCTGCTGAAATAAGCAAGGCTCTTCTCAACGAGGCCAGGGTGAGAAATTTTGACAACTTTACACCCATATCTATGTCAAATAACTATTGGTATTACAGATTGTTTGTTGTAGTTGCTGTTGATGTTCTTGACATTTAATGGACATTGGAGTAGTGTAGTATTTTATGTCTTGTAGTTTTAGTTTTGTGTTTTTTTAATGTTAGTTACTTTGCGTCCAAAGTCCAAACATAACCATAAGTCTGATATTCTATTAGAAAACATTAATATTTTATTTTCATATAGGCTGCAATGGGAAGCCATGTCCCTCAAAAAAGAAAGAGGACTAAGAGAGGGAAAGCAGTCGCAAGCGCAGCGGCCACAAGTAACAGACGTAAGAAACGTCAAAAAAAACAAAAAACGTTGTGCATTAGGTTCGTTGTTTATTACACTGTTATAGTTTAATAATGATTATTATCTAATATCTAAATGCTGGTGAGATGTATGATGGAATTTTGTGAATTTTCTGGGGTGAAATATATGATGCTTTACAGTAAGACCCTGATAGAATAGATAACCTATTGCATTGGCCTTTACAGCTTCTGAAGTTCAAGTGATCACAGTGTCTGAGGAAGTCCCTCACATCGAAGAAGAGATGACTGCAAGTCTTGGTCAGTATGTCTGTATAATCCCTATAACATTTCCTATCCCTCCATATCAACAACTTTTCTAATGACCCTGTAAACTTTTCCTCGATTCATTGTTGTTGATGTCTCACACTTCTTCTCCACGTAACTACATTAAAAGTGGTTTGTGTTTGTATTTGTATTTTGTTGTTGTAGAAAGAATGTGCATTATATTATAAATTTTTACAATTCTGCACTCATTGCTTTTGCATAGCTCGCTTTTAGAAATTTTTTCCTATTTTGGGGAGTGATAGACACTCCTACTCTTCATTTCAAACTGGTCTATTATCGGAAGCATATTACACGTTTTGTGAAACCATTGTGATACAATGGTTCGTGATACCATGATCAAATCCATATACAGTACATTAAACCAACATTGAATGGACACTGTCATGTATGGCTTGGTCAATGTCAGATTTTAATAATTATTGTTGTACCATTCAGTCATTTTACCTATTGTGCCTTCACTCAATCGAAGGGTTGTTTAACAGTTATTTTCATTTATTTTTTTAGATACACGTCTTCAATAGCTGAGGGACACGCTTGACTCAGTTGAGGTTAATGTGGCAGCTGAAAAAAACAGCATGGGCACAGCGGCAGCTACACGCTGATACAAGGGCAAAAGCAGCAAGGCCAGTGCTGCTTGATGCTAAACTGTCCGCTGAAAGAGATGTCAACCAAAAATGCACTATATAGGTTTGACGTCTTCGACGCTTTTGCTCACATTAAAGTTTCGGCTCCTTCGATGTCAAGGCATGCCTTTTTAAAGCTACTGGAGCACCGTTCTGTTCAGGCTGGAAGGGTAAATCTGCTTGAATCATTGTAACACATAATCATATTAATGTATCTAATATTGTGATATTTATTTTCTGTAAACACTAATAATTTTTTATGTCATAGCCAGGGAATGTCTGTGCAGATACATTCCAGAAAAGTTTTTTCGAATATTGTTTTTGCAAACATACAGAAGATGTGATGTGTGAAGTAAATGACTTTTATTGTCCAGCATCAGAGGCAGCAGCATGACAAGAGTATGTCTAATACTGCATATTAAGACAGTATATCTATTGTTTATGTTTGTTTGTTTGTCTTTTCTGTTTTCTATTTGTTAAGATGAGTGATATCTAACTTTACAGGCAGATAACAGTGGAACATGTGGCGTTTCAAGGTTCAGGGCAAGTAAGGAGATGTCAAAAAAATCATCGTCCAAAATAGATGAAGAGGGCATACAAGTGGCAGTCTGCAGGTATGTGGGTAGATCAGAAGTATGCAATTGTACAGATGCCACTTGTCACACCCTGTGGAAACTCAATTGTGGATAAATGCATCAGAGTCAGGTTCAGAGTCAGGTATTTCCTAATGGGAAGTAAAGTCCTTTCCGTCCTTCAGATGAGATGTTAAACTGAGGTCCTGACTCTGTGGTCATTAAAAATCCCAGGTTGTCCTTCAAAAAGAGTCGGGGTGTAATGCCGACATCCTGGTCAAATTTGCTCCTTGGCCTCTGTCCATCATGGCCTCCCAATCATCCCCATATACTGATTGGCTTCATCACTTTATTTATTTTTAAAATAAATTACTTGATGGGGATGAGTGTTTGCGATTGAGGATTGATGGGGATGATGTGATGTTGTGTGTGCGTGCGTATGTGCAAATGGATTTAAGCTTTGAATAGAGGTTTTTGATTAGCTCTGTTTTCCACAGGTCTTATTGTGTAAACAGATCATTAAAAATATTGTCCTCTTGTGCATCAGACACGGGATATTGCTGCGTGGACTGGACCACTACCGTGGCGAGGTCTTTGCCGACCCAATGTTTTTACAGAAACAATTGTCAGAGAGGGCCAATGTCACTTTCTTCTGCATGGATGTTGTCTGCAGGTAATTTTTCTCTTTCATATTGAAACTTGGTCAACCTACTGTACATTAAATGGCAAGTGCCTGTTTTTTTTTTTCAGTCATTTTATATTGATGGCCAGGCAAAGTATTAGTTAATGCCTACTAATGCTGTGCTTCTTTTTAGGTACTGGCAGCCATACCTAAGCAAAGCGACTGAAGAATCATCCGATCTTCAACCACTGATGGAAATGAGGCCATTTCTTAGTGTGATGCATGCCAAAGCTCATACAGCAAAATGCGAGGTACCTCAAATTACTGAAATTTAGATGCAACAGTAGCCAGCAGGCAGCTAGTGCTAGAAGTCGTGCAATGATTGTTTTTTTATTATTTTAAATTGTTATTAGTAGTAATATACTAAGTTGTAAGTCTGTGATTAGTATATCTTGTGTAGTATATTATGCAGATAAAATATGACACCTTTAAAGTGAAAAAGATTTGAATGTGCACATAATAAATGACATTATTTAAAGTTATGGTATGAAATTAATCCAACACTGTTGCAGGTGAGATGGGGCGGTATGAATCAGGATGGAGCAGGGAACACTGTTGGAGAGGAAGTTGAGCAAGTATGTTATTACAGACATTATTGTAACTATGTAGATATAGGAGATTTTACTGATACATTTAAGCAGTGTGTGAAGGATAAAGTACATCAGGGTACCAAACAAAGATCTATGCTTGCTCGAATGACCATCAGAGCACGATCTGAACTGTAGTTGCAACACATATTTTGTTGAAATAAAAAAGTGAAGTGAGCAGTGGTGTTTTATGCATGATGCATCACTATTTCAAGCTTTGTTCCCTCTGAGCTTCACTATTTAATTATATACACTCATTTGATCATGTTAGGGAAATTCATTATCTGCAAATTCATTATCTGCATTATCTGATAAGATATTAGTTAAACAATAAGACAAACAATAAAACAGTATGGCTACATGTTCACATATACATACATTTTTTTATGTTATATAGGAATACATTAATTTCTGTATTGTTTATCTAGGTAAACAGCTTTCTATCCAGGGCAGCTCTTGTCACAAAGTACATGACAAAGGCAGGTTGGTATGACACAATACAAACCATACGCTATGATGAGGTATTTCTGACTTCTAAAATGTAATTTTCATGTTATCCTTGCACTAAAGTAATTTTTGTGTTTGGTCATGTCTAACTGCAATGGTCTTTCTCATGTAAACTGATCCAATCATGCATGCATATTTTTTTGTAATCAGGGAGAGAGAATATGCTTACGCAACAGGCCATGGGGTGGAACAGAAAAAAGACAGAGAACCTTCATAAAGTCTTAGCCTGCAGATACATCAAAGTAAGGGCATTTCCCAATGGTCCTTTTGCCTGACACAACATACATTTTAACAACAAACTGCAGAGCTGGCGTCTATCCATCTGTAATAAGCTCATTCATCTATTAATTTATAAACTGTAGGTTATGGAATTTCAATTTGATCTCGGTATTGTCTGAAAGCTTGTATGGTATTTTTTATTTTTGTGTGATTTAAAGATTTCCGAGAAGGTAAAGCTGGAAGTTGCCAGCTTCAGTGATTTCCGCCAGAAGAATGACATCACTGAACAAACAGCACAGCAGTGGGTGTGTGATGTTCAGCAGTGGGCAGTCACAGGTAAATCACATCTGTTAATTAGTTTGTTCAAATATTAACTACTTAAGGTGATCAGACATTTTTAAATTAAACAATTTCTGAAATAATTGTGTTTCCTATTAAGAGCCAGGGAGCACAGCAGAACAGGGAGCAACAGAGGATCTCAGGGCTGAGATAGAGAGCATCATAGTGGCTCTGCTACGCAAGAAGCAGGAACTCTATCGTCAGCATGGTTGGTTGACTGATATTCAAATGGCACATTGCAAACAAACAAAAACAGTTTTCCTGATAGTTTTCTTATTTCGCTTTGCAGATAGCAACCAGACAAGACAGATAAAAAGAAGAAAAATAAGAGAATTAAAAAAAAAATGAAACAAAAGATCCAGCTGTACAATGCTATTGCAGAAGATAAAATTGATGAGGAGTTGGGCTCAAATTCGACAGAGGACTACATCCTGCCTTGGGAGAGACGTGAGGATGGTATGGTGGTAGTCCTGACATGTTCTTGAAAATGTATACCTGTCTGTATACGATATTGCAAAATCTCCCTCTCTCTCTCTCTCTCTCTCTCTCTCTCTCTCTCTCTCTCTCTCTCTCTCTCTCTCTCTCTCTCTCTCTCTCTCTCTCTCTCTCTCTCTCTCTCTCTCTCTCATATGTTTTAGTTTATAACTTAATCATAAATACTAAATCACTTTTTCATATTTCCATCTATTCCCACTACCTAAAGGTCACTCCTTCAGGTTAAAACGGTCTCTTGAGGAGGAGCAGAGCATCCTGGTTAAGGAGATGTCTCAGCACATCACATCTCTCCATAAGGAGATAAAGGGAGTGGAGAAGCTGAAAGAGAACATCAGAATGGGCTGTAAGTCAAATTTGGATTTTTTTTTCCTCACTAACATATGTATAGTCCCTTTTCCATTGAATGGTATTGGTTCCACTCACCTCAACATGACTCTACTTGGTTTGGTTTCAAATTTTTGGTTTAATTTTCTACTGCATAAAAGTACCATTTCATGGAACCGGTTGCTATAGCGATACTGAAGTGAACTATCTTTGCATCACCATTTTGTAAAAGTTTGTAACAGCAATCACTACAGCAGAACAGATAAAATCAACAGTATTCTGAAATCATCGCATTACAGACATGTTTTTGGGGAGCAATATTTACTCTATCGGCTGTCCTGTCTCGCTAACTCTAAGCTGCTGTTGAGGACCTGCTCAGAACGTTAACATGATGCTAGCAATAACAATGACCACAGAGCTATCTGCACATCATTGTTGGAACTTCAACAGAGGTGGAACCAAAAGTGCTTGGTACCAGAGTCAAGTGGATCTGGTACCAGTCAGTGGAAAAGAGCCACAAGTTTTATTGTTTTCTACATTAGTTGTACGACTCTGCTCCACCCTCACACTTTGTTTAGCCCCCCCCCCCAAAAAAATACAATGCATTATATTTTGAACAGAAATTAACAATCGCAAAAAAAAAAAATTGTTTGAGCAAAGAAAAAAAAATGATTCTGTGCTCAATAAATGTATTTGCTATTAGCCATATGCACGTGCAATAATAACCCCTCTCACTCTGTTTACAGGTGCTCTCTCAAACTTATTCTCTGCACTCCTGTCAAGTCCCTCTCTCTCTCTCAACCTCTTAATTCTGTGCGCGCTCAACTCTTGACATGCTCGCTCAACGTGCAAGAGCGTTACAAGTGTGCCACAAAATCAACCAATCGGAAAATTAAAGGTAAATTGTGATTGGCTATTACAGCGCAGTCTCATCCCAAGACGTCATATAACTGATGTCTTGGGACGTCTTTTGACCATACGTCAACATCCGCCTTTTTAGGGTACCCTTAAACATCGGTTAGATGACGTTACCGGATCCTAAACCTACCCCGTCACCTAACCGACATTAAAGGTAAAGCGTCAGTTGTATGACGTCCCAGGATCGTCATATAACCGACGTTTAAGGGTACCCTATAAAGGCGGATATTGACGTATGGTAAAAATACGTCCCAAGATGTCAGTTATATGACTTCTTGGGATAAGACTGTGTAGGACTATTACGCTGTAGTCAGTTACCAGACGGGCTTTGGTTCTACTAGCGATTTGATTGGAGACAGCCAATCACAATTGACCTTTAATTTTCCGATTGGTTAATTTTGCGGCACACTTGTAACGCTGTTGCAAGTTGAGCAAGCGTGTGTGTCAAGAGTTGAGCACGAGAGAGAGAGAGAGGGACTTGACAGGAGTGCAGAGAATAAGTTTGAGAGAGCACCTGTAAACTGTGTGAGAGGGGTTATTATTGCACATTAATATGGATAATAGCAAATACATTTATTGAGCACAGAATCGTTTTTTTCTTTGCTCAAACTAATTTGTTTTTCAAAATATAGTTAATTTCTGTTCAAAATATAGTTCTCTGTGCTCAAAACTTAAAATTACTCGCTCAGGATTGAGGCACACAAATGACGCTATCCCCAGCTTCTGCAAACCCCCATCCCTCCCTGACTGCACTTTATACCTCCAATTTATGCAAAGTATAGGATGTTAAACATACAGTTTCAATGAATTTGAGTTCAATTGAATTTGAATTTGAGAACAAGTAACAATTTTATGTCATATGTGGTTCTACATGCTATAATTTTTGAACAATATTAGTAATTCCCATGTTTATGTATGTTACAGATTTTGGTGACTTGTCAGAGGATGCTGCAGCTGGTTTCAAAAGTGTCCTCATGCGGAGGTCTTATGCACTGGAGAGTTTATGCCAACAAGCTGTGAGCACGGATAGTGCTATAGTTGATGACCTCCAGATACAGGACACAGAATGCAGATCGGACACTGATGACGAATATAACCTTAGTAGTCCAGAGTCAGAAGAAGATTAGAAAGGAGACCACTCTGTTTTGTTTTTAAAATCTGCTGATCCTTTCTTTTTCAACTTCAACAATTTCCAGCTTGTCTTCAACAACCTCCAGCAAGCAATAATTTATCGCTGCAGAATGGCCAGACTCTGGCTACCTTTTATTAGCAGGCTAACCCCCAAGCTATCAGACATGTAAATATGCACTAACCCTATGATAATTCAGTTATCAACATTAGGTGTTGTTAATTGTGAAATTATTTTGCACTGCAACTTCATATACTTCAATCATGAGTGTGTAATATAATTGCAATATTGACTGAATGGATTGGCCCTCTGGGTGGACTGTTTTATGCATTCTGGACTGTGACATTTCAACCTCAACTTTAGCACTTAAAGGACAATAGGGAGCTCATTTATGCTCTATTGAATTTTCTTGTGTCAGATGTGTTTTGTGGTACATGTGAGCACACAAAGATAGATTTCTTCAACTGGAAATGGCTACAATAAACTTGAATGAATTTGAAAGTGTAAATAATTTGTGATTGTAAAAAGTGCATAAAGTACATAATTGCCTTGTAGTCTTTATTCAAAACCAATGTCATAATTAAGCAGGATAGTATTGTCCAAATTAACTTATGAAAAAGAGATGATCATTTCAGTATTTAAGCAGGATAGTATTTAAATTAACATGAAAAAAGTGATCATTTCAGTAAGGGTGGTGATAGGTTCAGAGTTGGAAACAGGACAACAAGGTCGTAGCCAGTGTCTGAAAGTATAATTAAGCTGCATGTTAGAACACCAGCACTCTTTTTTTTCACAGTCTCATATCTCTCATCCCTGGACATTTCTCAATTTACCAGCCGACCAACTCCTCATTGACTAAGCCTATATCTGCCAGACACCCTTTTTTTCTGAAAATGGAAAGTAGAATGTGTCTTTAAAAGTTATGATAAGCTCCAAGTCCATGTTTATTCTGATTTTACTTGATTTGGATAAAAAAAAATTTATTGACTTGATTCTGATTTTACTTGATTTGGATAAAAAAAAAAAAAAAAATTGACTTTTTGGTCTGCATTCATGCTACATACTATTGTATCATCAATCATGGATCCCTATCAGTTTGCTTACCAGGCTGTGGAAAATGCCATCAACCTGGCTGTTTACTCTGCTACATTTGGAGTCAATTAACACCTATGCGTGCATAGCTTAGCATATAACATGATAGATCCTCCATCTGTTCTCCAGCCTGCAAGTCATGAACAGCAATATAGATCTGTGTCACTTGATACTTTCATATAATTAAATTGGTCAATTTTAACAATATGGAAACATCAATACAGATAGGCCACCATAAGGCTGTAGAGAGGTAGTAGGAGCAAACACTGTATTCTACTGCTGCTGGTGGCTCGTGCCACTCGTCTACTGTCCTGTACACTGTCCTGCCCCACTCACTTATTGTCCTGTACCACTAGTCTATGTCCCGTGAGACTTACAAAATGTTAAAAACCTAACCCTTAACCTAATCCTAAACCTAACCCATTGGACAGTGACTAATGACTACGGACAGTAGGCACATCAGATGGGATATTGAGTGCCATGTGAGAGTAGGCAAGTGTCACAAAACAAAATGAGTTGTGCAGGTCAGTGCATGGGACAGCAAGTCAGTGGCACAGTGAATAGGACAGGTGGCACAAGACATGGGTTCATGGGTGGCGCAGGACGGGTCACGAGGATCAGTAGTACAAATCACCAGCAGCAGTACAGTACAGTTATTGCTCCTACTGCTGGAGGAGAAACGACCAAGATCAAGTTTGCAGATGATACCCCCATCATCAGTCCCATCAGATATAGTATGAGTCTCAGTGCTCCATGGAGGATAATTGGGATGTAGAATGAAGTACCACCAGCAAATTTCATCCTGAGGAGGAGGCCAAATTCCAGTTATTAGTTGAGCCCTGATATTTTTACATTTATGGCGTCTCACATAAGGCATAATGAATTAATTGAAATGGGATATTAACATCATATTAACATTAACATAACAACACATTAATCAGACATGATCTGGACATGTTATGTGTAAACAAACTCTTCTATAATGCCATATATCTTATTCATCACTACCTGGTATGGAAGGAATGACAGACAGTCACACTTGATGGAAATTAGAAAGGATTGACACAAAAGTCTTCTTGTTGTAATCCTCCTTCCCCCTAATTAAGTCTTATTTCATTGTATATTATTTTGACCCAGCCCTCCCCTGGATACACATCAGCTTAATCACTATCATGCAAGGACAAATTCAGTATTTTGTCAGCATTTACTCTACCCATGTTAAAGTGTACATTTGTCTAAGTCTAGTTAGTGATTTCTATAAAGATGGTCTGCTGAACATCAAGAGGGAAAAGCACATTATACCTGTGACTTAGAAATAGACTAGCCAGTTACAGTATAACTACCACAATGATGAGGAAACTGATGGGACAGTGAGGACACTGGAGGAAGGATGAAAAAGAACCTGTAGAGGATACACTGTACATAAGGCAGATTCATTCTGCCCATTATGGCTGGCATTAGCAAACATCCCAATTGAAAAAAAATGAATGGAGGACAGAATCCATATTAATCACATCTAGAGTGTATTCACCTCTAGCACGTACTGTAGTGTATTATAGTTAGGAATTAATATGAAGATTCATTGTATACAACAGCCTGCTTTGTCTTAGATTACTGTATGGCATTTCATCCCTTGACCTGGAGCATTTTGCTTTGTTGTTTAAAGTCATTGCAATTCAGCAGTGACTGACTGTTATTGAGCTGAGCCCCATTTCATACATAACTTGAACCATGTTTGAGAGACAAAGAAAGAGCCCTATTTTAACATCTAAAACATAAAAACATGAAACAGTAACTTTGTGGCCGGACCTTGGGTGCTGTTGCTATTATAGCCTACCAACGGGATTCTTGGGTGCAACGCAAATCTAAAATGAAGTAGCTACATTATTCATAGGTGTGGTTTGGGCCTAACATGAAATAAACCAGATCAGAGCGACATCTCACTATCCCTTTAGGAGCAGGTGCGCTTTCCAATTATTATATTGGAGGATTTTCCATGCGTGTGCAAGGAGCACTTCACAAGCGAGGAGAGCAACGTTCTCGTCAGGGCTGGAAAAACACGTGGCATTGTATGGGGCCCATCTCCCATAGAAACCCACCCAAATTAGCTTTGTTCAAACAGGCGTATAAAAATTTGGATGAATGTGTAAGCTAGATTTATGCCTATGTTTTTCACATCTTCATGGACACAACAATGATTCCCCTCATTTGTGAATGTTTCCTTGTAAAAATGTTCATGGTTTTATAAAAAATGAAAACTGCTGCATCTGTGTGTACATGAGAAAAGCAAAGTGTATGCTCGTTGTGCACACGCTACATTGATTATGGCCAACCAGGTGCCCTTAAAATAGCATGAATAACATGCGCAACTCGCCACTGACTTTAGACTAGGCTTTTCCTGGTGAGTGGCGTGATTGTTTTCTAAACTTGTAAATTAGCTCCAGGGAATGTTTGCGTCTGTGGAGGGAAAAGTCTGCTGTGTGCAAAATAGGAATGATACATGCTGTACAAAGTCAATTGCGCTGGGTGCAAGACAGGGCCCCAAGTTACTGTCCGTCAACTGCCCACAGCCTGGTTGCAGTGTCCTTTTTTTACCTGGCAACACACCCGGGCCCCAAGTTCCCATTTTAGAGACCAAAGTAAACATTTGTTACTTAACAGCACAAACTCTTCTGCAATGTAACCATTGGTACAACAAATGAAGACTGGTGTGCGACTTGAACAGGACTTTATATAGTGTGTACCAGTCTTTGACAGATGGAGGAAGGAATCAAATGAAATGGATTCCCAATAATAACAGTCAACATACAAGAGATTAGAAAAAAAACTGTCATGTGTAATACAAATGTCCCCAGTCCTTCATACCAACAAGCCCAAATGCTGTTAGTATGATGCCTACTAAAAGAAAAGCTTAGTATATTTATTCATAGTCTTCATGTACATCCTATTATTAAAATTACTACACAAAGATCTCTGCTAGGTCACATGAGTGTGAGTGATGTCTGTTAGACATGACACGGAAAAGCTTAGTAAATACAAATCTTTATTAAAACAATACAAACCTACCAAAAAAATGAACAAAATATCATAAAAAACAATCTAGTCAAGGATCAATTTGGATTTAACTTTTGTGTAGGTATTATGACAGAAACAAAATAAAACTGGAGTGAGTATCAAGCCATCTGCCAGGTTGGAGGCCAGGTTTTCCCGCTAAAAAATACAAGAGATAGATGGTTAGTGAAAAAGGTATGAATAATGACTTAACATTCAATGCTGTAACATCTACACTACACGATTACACAATAATTGAGAACAGTAATTAAGATGAAAGACAAGGTATTCAATAGGAGTGATGTTAAAGGACAACTCCGGCGCAAAATTAATTACACATTGGTACATAGTCAACCGTTCCCTGAGATTTGTTTTCATGATTAGCAAATGTAAAGAGTTATATCTCTAAAAACTGTTTAGCTTATAATGCTAGTTTATAGGGCTTAGAGTAATGAAAAAAAAAAAAAAACACTAGTTAATACCACTTACAAGGCTCAAAATAGCCCCACACTAACACGGTAGCATAATCAGGGTCCCTATATGCAAAACGAAGCATTGAGAACTAGAATTTGAGAATAGAAGAGAATAAGAAGATACTTTATAAAGACAGTTCACTTTGTGTATACAGACAGGAGCCATCTTTGGAAAACAGTCTTGACAATCGAACCACGAACACCGAGCCAAATGCGCTGGTGAGATGTGAACGAGCCAAAACTTGGCTCGGCGTTCATGGTTCGACTGCTCGAGACTGTTTTCCAAAGATGGCTGCTGCCTGTATACACGAAGTGGACTGTCTTTACAAAGTTTCTTCTTATTAAACGCTCTGTACACTTACGTTCTCAATGCTTCGTTTTGCATGTATGGACCCTCATTATGTTACTGTGTTAGTGTGGGGCTATTTTGAACCTTGTTAGTGGTATAAACTAGTGATTTTTATTTTCATTACTCCATATGCCCCATATACTAGCATTATAAGCTAAACAATTTTTAGAGATAAAACTCTTTACATTCGATAATCATGAAAACAAATCTCAGACAACGGTGACTATGTACCAAATGTGTAAGTAGACCAAAACTTCATTTTGCACCAGCGTTGTCCTTTAAGATTAACCATAGGCTTGAAAATAGCACCTAGAGTTTTTTAATAAACAAAGAAAAAATTCTAGACAACACCATTTACAACTGTTAATTCATAACCTAATCAAATTAAGATAGTTGTACATAGAGTATACAGTAGTATAAAGTAGATTGCAAAGACTTAAAAACTGAATTTTTATAATGCAATCTTGTCTGGCCTCGCTTAAAGCCAATGTAGCACTCAGTGATAGTAGAGTTGGTAATGAATAGTCAAGGGTGTGGCAAACACAACTTTAGGTATATCCATTACAACTATCAATTGGCTATAAGTCAATTGTTCTTATTCAGCAGTTCCCTTTGAATCTACAATGTCAAAATACACTTGAGACATATTTATTTTCCTTTTTTTTTTATTTTTGGCTCAATGTCATCTGTCAAACACAGTGGTTCTAACCAACTGGTTTAGTTGCTTGCCATGCATCGTGTTGTCTTTGAAGTTGCTGGAAGGTTTGTTTTGTGCATTGCAATGTAAAAAATGTGGTATACTAAGGCTACGTTCACACTGCAGGCTGAAAGGGACCAATTCGGATTTTTTTGACCATATGTGACCTGTATCTAATCTTTTCATGACAGTCTGAACGACACAGATCCGATCTTTTCAAATGCGACCCAGGCCAATAGGGTATGTGGTCCAAATCCGATATGTATCCAATCTTTTGAAATGCGACTTCAGTCTGAACGGCCCGGTCACATGTATCCGACCCGCACGTCATTGATACGCGACAAACGTCATAATTGTGCTTTCAAGTAGGCGGGAATAAGAAGATAAACAACAACTATAGGGGACGATGCTGAGACTAGTCAATGGAAGTAAAGCGAGGTTTATGATTTAATTAATATTTGGGGGGACAGCTCTATTCAGGCCAAACTCGAGGGCTCTTATCAGAACTTCTGCAAACAAGTACTCTTCTGTGCATGCGGGTCAATTCTGGGTCATTTCACGTTCACACAGGAGATCACAAAAGGTCGCAATTAATTGGAAATGTGAACGGCCTTGCAAATTTTTTATTTTTATTTTTTTATAAGCCCAGCTGCACTACTTCCTGAACTTCAGCCAGCTCCTTGTTTCCTGTCTGCCATTATTCGACAAATTAATTAATTCAGGTGTGCTTGACCTCAGTAGTCATGGCAACAATAATCAGGCACACCTGAATTAATCAAGTTTGGCCAATAATGGCAGACAGGAAACAAGTAGCTGGCTGAAGTTCAGGAAGTAGTGCAGCTGTGCATAAGGTCAATTGAGCCCCTGCAGTGTGAACGTAGCCTAAGGGTGAACTGTCCAAGCAAGGGTACCATACCATAGATCGCAGGGCATCCAGTCGTACAGGAGTTCGGTCTTCCCCTGTGGAAGACAAAAAAAAAAAAAAAAAAACATGAAAATGTGTAACATGAAATATTGGATACAGATTTACAATGTAAACTTAAAAGGAATGATTTGGATTGACATTTGATCAGTTTTCAAATAATTTCAGTAATTATTGTAAGAGGAAAACCCCTCGAGATGTGACATCTAGTTTTCGAGTTCTCTAATGCATGATTGTTATAGAGAATGCACCAATAAAAGGGTTTCCCTACACAAACAATTTCTAACCCAATTTAGTGTGCTTTTCAATAATTTATCTAATAAAACCTTTGCCATCTTCCTTTGTGTGCCAGTTTTCTAAAAACTTCTAAAAACCTTATTACATTTTGTTGTACTTAGAGTGAATGGTACAAATGTCTCATTTCCAAATGAGACATTTTAAATGATACTAAACATAATACTCAATGATAATCATTCACATTATAACCATATGTTTCTTGAGAGAGAATGAAATGCAGATTAGGTGAGACTGTATGAGGGGGAGGTCAAATGTTCATTTCCAGCAAGGTCCTTTGTCTTTCTGAGCAGTGGTCGTTTTTTAACCAGTTTTTTTTAACCAGTCTTCCCAATATTTCCCAGAACAACAATCAGGTCCATATTCTGATTACTTGCAGGCAATAGTCTGTCAGGATAGCAAACATCATGTAGTTAACAGGGAAGAGGGTTCCTTTCTCCACATCAAATACTGTATAAGGACCTTTAAAGGATATTTCTAGGCATTTAAAAATAAATATTTAGAGACATGGATCAAGGGCAAATTTTATCCAAGGGACAACTAAGAATTCCCTGGTGATACAATTGGCTTTATGCCCAGCTGCACTACTTCCTGAACTTCAGCCAGCTTCTTGTTTCCTGTCTGCCATTATTGGCCAAGCTTGATTAATTCAGGTGTCTGATTATTGTTGCCATGACTACTGAGGTCAGGCACACCTGAATTAATCAATTTGTTGTTCTGTCATGTTTCCTTGTCTGTGTTCCCGTCTTTTTCCATGTTTAGCAGTTCCCGTTATGTCTATTAGTCTTACTAGGTGTCTCTGATTAGCCACTCTCCTCATTATCTCGTTTAGCTTGTTTGCCTTTGTATTTAAGCCATGTGTCTAGCTCAGTCTTTGTGTGTTCTGGATGTTGTTCTGTTGCATGTTGTCGGTTTTGTTCTGGAGTCTTAGCCTTTGTCATAGTTCAAGTTTATTCTTAGTCTTAGTCATTGTTCTAGTTTATTTAATAAAAAACTGCTGCATTTGGATCCTGCTTCCTGCACTGCATTATAACAGATACAGTGGTTAGGTTTGTTGACATCTAAGCAGATGTTGCAGGTCCCACCTATTAAGGTACACTTTAATTTAATTTATGATGCTAAGTAACTTGAACATGGTTCAGTGGCATGTTGCTTATAAAGTGTCTTGGGCCTTGAGTAGTGTGCCCAAGAAGGAGCACTAGCACTCAGTTACTCACACCCCGTGATGCAGGACAACTTCTAATTTTTTAATCAAATACCTTTTCACAGTTTTATATGAAGTTAGCTGTAGTTTAAACCTTGCAGAAAAATTATGCTGGTTGCTGGATGGTCTAAGCTAGAGTGGGCTGAAAGAGAAATGGTGCGTTCCAGCATGTAACATACGACCAAGTAGCGATTGGTTAAAGCAGAAAACAAATATCCCAATGGATAGGTTCGTGGGGCCTCATTTATAAAACTGTGTGTGTAGGATCCTTAATAAAAGTGTATGTGTGGCCGAAAGGCAAAAATGGCATTCACAAAAATTTTTTTAGACTTATAAAACCGTTCGTACACCAGAACCTGCACAAAATTCACTTTATAAATCCCAGTCACCGGAAGATTGTGCGCACATGCTCCTCCCCGAAATAGCCATAAATGAGCTTACAACCCCTAGTTTTACTATGCATATCCTCCAAACCAGTTTCAAAACATGCTAGCCAAGATGTATTTTCTGTAGGGAAGACATCATATCAGATAACACAATCTAACTACCTCTCCAATCCTACCTTTCTCTGCTTGTCCGTATTATCCCACGGTATGGGTGCACATCCCGATTGTTGTGGGGGCAATCTTTTGTTCTCACTGTACAACATAAGAGAAATGATAAATAATAATCCAAATGCAATTGTAGCCTTGGAAAATACTTAATACTTGAAAACTTGCTTATCTACAGTATGAACACTATGCATTCAATCCATATGGAAATTAATTAAAACAATAATATCAGGAATACCCGCACAACAATTAAATTAATACTTTGTGTTGATAATGTAAAAGATGACAGAATATCAGATGTCAGATTTCAGACCTCTCTTCCTCTGATTTCGCCTTTTCCCTATATAAACAAATAGACTTGGTTCAGTACAGCACAGATATTTGAAGCTTAAGCATATTCTTTCAAAGATAAAGAACATAAATAAAGCTGAAGAGCTTAAGACCTTGTCCAGTAGGAGGTTGATCAGCCACAGCAACAGTCCCAGCCTCCTGGTCCACAGAAATTGTGGCTACTGAATCTAAAATGAGTGAAGAGACAGCATTGACTATCATCATAATTTACATACAATTAGGTCATAACAGAGACCTGAAAAAAAAAAAAGATATTAAAGCGATACTACAGAGTACATCATCCCACCATAGCCTTGTTGTTTGAACTTCCCAAGTGCTGTTGGTAGGAAGAAGAACAAGAGAATTTGGTATAGCATAGACTACATAGCAAACCATCTGAGACCATGAGCTCTATGTTGTACCAAATTCTCTCGTTCTTGTTCCCACTGACAGCAGCATACAGTGAGCTCAAATAACAGGACTATGGTTGGAAGAACTCAGACACTGTAAAACCTTGTACTGTAGGAGGAGGGCTTAGCAACAATTCTGGACCACCCTCAGTCCCAGCCCCCTGGTCCAAAGTCATGCCACTTGTCAAATCTGAGGATGAGAATGAGTGAAAAGAAGATGTTGTCTCTCTAACGTGTATACACAGATTATATAACACACAGTACAATTAGGGTCTATATTCACAAAGAATCTTAGGGGTGAAAGCATCTCAACATTTTAGGAGAAGAAAAAATAATTGGGCTAATCCCTAATGAGGTAATTTTAACATCATTTAGGAATTATTTTGAGCTAAAATGAAATCGTTGTGAATTTTGTGAAAGAACATAAATAAAGCTGAAGAGCTTAAGACCTTGTCCAGTAGGAGATTGATCACCCACAGCCACAGTCCCCTGGTCCACGGATATTGTGGCTACTGAATCTGAGGATGAGTGACATGGTGACATTGTGTCTTATAAAAGTTTAAATAGGTGTAGTGAAAAGACATCTGCTGCTAATGCATATTTTCACAAAAATCTCAGAGAACACAATAAAGTGAAGGCACCAAATCAAGCCAAACGCACCTTGTTCTCTTAATGGGTTCGTTATCTCAAAATTTAGAATGACAGTAGCCTCCTCAGGCTCATGGCTACTGTCTGTTGCCTGTTCTGGATTCACTAGAAGAATACAAACACACACAAAAAATGTACTTTACGCAATTAGGTCAAAATGTGAAAGCTAAGGCAAAATAATACAAAATCCACAAGCCTCAGATACACAGAGAAGCACAGTTGCCCTTACTATTTACAATCATTGATTGCTCAACACCATCTACCCCTAAATAATAATATATAAAAAAATACATATATAAAGTTTATAGTATATAAATATAGTTTTACCTTCAACCATCATTTTAAAAATTTCATAAATGTTTTGCACACATCTCTGTGCACCTTTGCTCAACAATTCATCTTTAGGTAAGATCATTTTGGCCTTCTTGTGTGGATATTCCACCAGGAGCAAAGTCTTCCAGCCAACTGCGTGCAGCTTCTCTATCTAAAGATAAAAACAAAACAAAAAACATTTAAAACATTTCAATTACAAGTGCTTTGGTGTGGCTGTGTATGGATCTTTGTCTGCTTATCACAATAGCACAAAGCTGGGACACAAATGCAGGTCAACAAGAAATATTTAGCGTAGAAGCAGACTTTTGGAACATCACAAGGAATAGCTGTATTCAAGATTTTGATCTTTAAGATGGTAAAACTGTTGAATAAATAGCTTCCATAAATATGTTAATGCATTATCTTGTCTCAGTCAAAACCAGAAAGTCTCCCCAGTACCCCAAAATAACTGGACTATGGTGACATAGATCAAGAAAAGTTACTTACCAAAATGATGGCATCATCCCACAAATGTGAGGTCACCTGATTTTTTTTGTGTTGGCAACCCTTTTTTTTTTTTGCTCGAATTTTTCAATCTTTTTGTTTAGGCGCACATTTTTAGGCTGTGGGGCCTTGCACATAGGGCACTTCTTGAAGCTATTAAAAATTTTATTTTGCATGCTGGGCAGGTCTTCTTGAGCCCTCCACCTTTTGACATGTTTTGATGCTGTAAACCAGACAGGAGGCATAATGTCTGTCACAAACATGACTTCAACCAGGTTCAGTTATAATAAAGTTTTAGTAAGTTACTGGATTTACTCCAAACATCGAAATATCAGACTTTGATGACTAACTTATGGTTATGTTTGATGGACGCTTTTTTAGTAAGTAACAATAAAAAACACAACTCAAAAACTACAAGATATAAAATACTACACTACTCCATAATACATTACGTAAATGTCTAGAACATCATACCTCAACAGCAACTACAACAAACAAAGAATATGTAGTACCAATAGTTATTTGACATAGATATGGGTGTAAAGTTACAAAATATCTCACCCTGGCCTCATTGGGATCTTCAAAGGCTGCTGAGTGGTTTTCCGACATGGTGCACAGATACAATACAAAAATACAGACAATAGACAAACAGTACAAATATGAAGATGAGTGTGTGTGCGTGCGTGCGTGCGTGCGTGTGTGTGCGTGCGTGCGTGTGTGTGTGAGTGAGAGAGAGTGAGAGAGAGAGAGACTAGAGAGAAACAGAGTGAGAGAGAAATTGAAAGAGTGGCTCTTAAAAGTGCCTTTGTTTTCTATATAAAACTGAAATAGAGATAAGATGCAAATAATCTGTAGAACAGACAAGAAAGCATAATTAGATGCATCTCTGAGAAAAAAAAAATTAATGTCTACATTAATGCGAGACACTAAAGGTGAATAGGGTAAAATTTTTAAAATAAATGAATCTATTACCATGATTGTCACAGTCTTCGTCTGCACCATCCTGTCTGCGTCATCAGCACTACACTTCCCAGAATCCTTTCGTCTGCACACCTGAACTCACTCCCTCATCAGCCTCCCATTCAGCGTCCTGTTCATCTGTTTCACCTGTCTTCACCTCGTTATGTTTGATTCAGCTGTGTATTTAGTTCCCTCTGTTTTATTCAGTCCTTGTCGGTCGATCGTTGTTACTGTTACCCTGTGTTCCGCCTGCCTGTATCCTGTTCTTTATGATTAAAACCTTTTTGTATTGGAGCTTTCTGGACTTTGCCTGTTCCTTCCGCCTGAACCCGCACCGTGACAGAACGATCGACCCCCAAATTGGGATTAAACATGGATTCCTTCGTGGCGGTTCAACTTCTCTGCCTGGAGCAGGAGGACCGGTCCCTGGAGGACCATTTGACGGATTTCCTCTCCCTCATTCCATCCACAACCTTCCCGGACGACAGCCTCTGCAGCTTTCTTTATGCTGGCCTCAACACCGCCACCAGAGCGCAGTTGTCCGGGAACGGTCCCCCGGGGAGTTTCGCAGCATATGTGGAGTGGGTGCTGGTGTCCTGCGGATCTCCCTACACCATCGATGACGGCACCAGCCCCACTCCAACGCTCGAGCCTTTCTCTCCACTGGTTCCGTCCAGCCCCGCCGAGCCGGGGCTCTCCTCTTCTCTGGTTTCGACCAGCCCCGTCCAGACCGTCCAGCCAGAGCCAGCGCCCGAGACCGTCCAGCCAGAGCCAGAGCCCGAGACCGTCCAGCCAGAGCCAGAGCCCGAGACCGTCCAGCCAGAGCCAGAGCCCGAGACCGTCCAGCCAGAGCCAGAGCCCGAGACCGTCCAGCCAGAGCCAGAGCCCGAGACCGTCCAGCCAGAGCCCGAGACCGTCCAGCCAGAGCCAGAGCCCGAGACCGTCCAGCCAGAGCCAGAGCCCGAGACCGTCCAGCCAGAGCCAGAGCCCGAGACCGTCCAGCCAGAGCCAGAGCCCGAGACCGTCCAGCCAGAGCCAGAGCCCGAGACCGTCCAGCCAGAGCCCGAGACCGTCCAGCCAGAGCCAGAGCCCGAGACCGTCCAGCCCGAGCCAGAGCCCGAGACCGTCCAGCCAGAGCCAGAGCCCGAGACCGTCCAGCCAGAGCCAGAGCCCGAGACCGTCCAACCAGAGCCCGAGACCGTCCAGCCAGAGCCCGAGACCAGGATCCCACCCTGCCTCCCTCTCCCGCCTCCTCTCATCTGTCCCCGTTCTTCTCTCCTGCCCTTCAGCTCCCCTAAACCAGCCTGGTCCGTGTTTCCCCGGCCTTCGCTTCACACCTCCTCTATCTGGACACTTCCTCGGCCCCCGGTCCCATCGGCTCCCCCGTGGCTGCTACCTCCCTCAGCTCCTCCATGGTCCCACAGTCCACCAGCTCGGCCAGGCTCCCTCGTCCCTCCGAACTCCCTGCACTCCCTCGTCATCCTCCCTTCACCTTTGGACTTCCTTCCCTTGGCTCCGCCCCGTCATGTCACCCCCCCGGTTCAGTTGGACTCCTCACTCCCTCCAGTCACCCGTCAGCCCTCACGCACTCTGACCTCACCGTGTCCCTCTGTGCCCCTGTCAGCACTTCTGTCACCAGAGCCTGCGGTGTCCCCTTGCTCCCTCAGTCCCTCCTCAGCACCCATCATCGTCGGTCCCTCAGCTACACCCTGGTCTCCTCTCCCATCCGCTCCGCCCCTGTCAGTCGGCCCCCTGGTGTTGCCAGCCCCACTACCATCGGCTCCACCAGGGGTCCTCCCTCCAGCTGCTCCGCCCTGGTCTCGCCCTCATCATGCTCCGCCCTGGTCTCGCCCTCAGCCGGCTCCGCCCTGGTCTCGTCCTCAGCCTGCTCCGCCCTGGCCACGCCCTCAGCCTGCTCCGCCCTGGCCACGCCCTCAGCCTGCTTTGCCCGGGGGACGCCCTCAGCCTGCTCCGCCCTGGGGACGCCCTCAGCCTGCTCCGCCCTGGCCACGCCCTCAGCCTGCTCCACCCTGGCCACGCCCTCAGCCTGCTCCACCCTGGCCACGCCCTCAGCCTGCTCCACCCTGGCCACGCCCTCAGCCTGCTCCGCCCTGGCCACGCCCCGCCCAGCCCCCAGTTCGTCCCCCCTCCTTCCTCTGTTATGCGGCGTGAGGTCACGCCTCCCGGGAGGGGGGAGTTCTGTCACAGTCTTCGTCTGCACCATCCTGTCTGCGTCATCAGCACTACACTTCCCAGAATCCTTTCGTCTGCACACCTGAACTCACTCCCTCATCAGCCTCCCATTCAGCGTCCTGTTCATCTGTTTCACCTGTCTTCACCTCGTTATGTTTGATTCAGCTGTGTATTTAGTTCCCTCTGTTTTATTCAGTCCTTGTCGGTCGATGTTGTATGTTACCCGGAGTTTCCCTGTCCTCCTACCTGTATTTTGATTAAAATCAGTATCTTCACGTTCATCTGGACTCCTCCTATTCCTTCTGCCTGCACTCCTGCACTCCACCATCTCACACCGTGACAATGATCACCATGAACCTTCCTCAGTTGATTAATTACACAAGTATATAAAAACAATGTATTATAAGTTTTTGAAATTTGTATGTTTAATTATGCAAAATAGGAAATATCTCATTAAATATGCACAATTTTGCATATATATTTTCGGTAACAAATCTGAACACATGATAAATCCAGGTGGAAAATTATTTTTTCATTTAGTTTACACAAGATGGAAAAAGAATATCAGATGGATTTCAGGATAGGGCCTAACGTTAACGTTATATGCTTTCATCTCACTTTTCATCAAAAAATAAACGATTTTCACTATATTTCTTTGGTGTACATGGTGCTACAGAGGATGATATGTTGGTAACGTTACTGGAGAATGACAAAAAAAATAATAATTTTGAGAAAACGTCTTTTAAATATTTCTTAAAATGCATACTTTTTTTAGAGAAAAACAACTAACGTTAGCAGCTAACGTTATTTACAGACACGATATCATGTCAAATATTTGGCAATGAACAATAGCCTACAAGCGATCTAAAACGCATTAAAACTTATATTTCAACATTTATATTTAGTAAATAAGTAGCAGGTCTGAGATACATACCGATTGGTAGAGGGGATCCTCGCAATGACGGAAAAACCGCGAAAGTGCCGTGGGGTCGCCGCCATGGCAACACGTCCGATTTAACATTAATTTATTATAAGTCTTTATCATTTTTTTCGTTGTCTGTATATGTCTATCTGTCAATTGAGTAAATTAAAGTAAAAAAAAAAAAATAATAAGTAAATTAGTCCAAATATTATTTACACCAGGCTGATGGATGGGGAGTTTGATTGATCGAGCCTGCCAGTTATCCGTGTGTCCATCACGGATTCAGAATTTGACAATGTGGAAAACTGTTATACACAAAATGATCAGGGGAGATAATATGTTCACAGTTTAATGAGGCTACATTTCATCGCGAACAGACAACTCGAATAGCCTAAAGTGTCAAAATCAGCAATAGGCAATCTCCAGTGAAGGTGAAACAATCTGTGGCGACCACCGAATATTCCGTGGTACGGTCACGGAAGAAACCCGTGGTCCCATCACGGAAGAATCCGTGGTGCCATCACAGAATTTGTCAATAAGCAAAAGGCTGTACAAACTGCAGGGGATAAGAAGTTCACAGTTTAATTAGACTACATGCATCACAAACACGGACAACTTGAATAGCCTAAAGTGTCAAAACCAGCAGCAATATCGCCCAGTAAAGGTGAAACAATCTGTGGCGACCACCGAATATTCCGTGGTACGGTCACGGAAGAAACCCGTGGTGCCATCACGGAATTTGTCAATAAGCAAAAGGCTATAGAAACTGGCCAGGGGAGATAAAAAGTTCACAGTTTAATTAGACTACATGCATCACAAACCCAGACAACTTGAATAGCCAACCTAAAGTATCAAACTCAGCAGCAATATCGTCCAGTAAAGGTGTGGCGACCACCGAATATTCCGTGGTACGGTCACGGAAGAAACCCGTGGGCCCATCACGGAAGAATCCGTGGTGCCATCACAGAATTTGTCAAAAAGCAAAAGGCTATAGGTCAGATAAGGAGTTCACAGTTTAATTAGACTACATGCATCACAAACACGGACAACTTGAATAGCCTAAAGTGTCAAAATCAGCAATAGGCAACCTCGTCCAGTGAAAGTGAAACAATCTGTGGCGACCACCGAATATTCCGTGGTACGGTCACGGAAGAAACCCGTGGTCCCATCATTTGTCAATAAGCAAAATGCTATAACTGGTCAGGGAAGATACAAAAGTTCACAGTTTAATTAGACTACATGCATCACAAACCCAGACAGCTGGAATAGCCAACCTAAAGTATCAAAATCAGCAGCAATATCGTCCAGTAACGGTGAACCAATCTGTGGCGACCACCGAATATTCCGTGGTACGGTCACGGAATTCAGGGTGACCAGACGTTATCCTAGCGATCAAACGACGACAGAACAATGCAATATCAAGTTAAAATCAAATATGTAAAGTAAAGTACTTTAAGTAAATTCAGAATATATCTTTCCAAATTATAAAACGACGTCAATTGGGGGAGCGCGCGCGTATTGTAACAGCCCGTGTGTAGACCACGGATGCTGCCTGTCATTGACTTACATAGGCATCAATTCCGTGGGCACATCACGGATTTTTTGGCAAATCCGTGACACTGCAACGGATTTTGAGTTAAGAGTCCGTGTTCATTTCACGGAATTCTGTGAGATCAGGTTGAAGACAAGACTGTTAGCACTTGACTAAATCAGAGAGGACGGACGTACCGTGACATGAAACAATGATCCGACA